CGCAGCCTGGACCAGGCGTCTTCAACTTCACGCGCTCGGGCTTCACCTCCAACGCCCGCGCCAGCGTGTCCGCCGACAGCTGCCCCACGTGCACGTCCCACCCAGGGTCTCCTTCAGGGCGAAGACGCCCGTCATAAGAACTCCCAGGAAGGGCAATCAATTCAGAGGCCGACATCTGCAGCCTCGCAAGCCCTCGCGTCGGCTGAACATCACGCCCAGCCGCGCGGCAGAACTCGAACAGGTCCTGATAGAGGTTCTCCACCGCCACCCTCCGTGCAGGAGACCACTGGAGGTCGGGGTAGCTCGCCTTCGCCTTCGGGGGCCCGCACTCCCAGAAAGAGAACAGGGAAACCAGCACGTTCGTCAGGTGCATCGCCCGCTCGGTCAGCCGCTGCTGCTTCCGACCTCTGGGATCTGCACCCTCTCGAGCCGCCCGGCTCGCAACGTCCACGAAACGCAATGGCATGGGAAAAAGACGTTCAGGATCTGTCGAGGCAGGCGACCCTTCGCCCGCGATAGATTCGCACGAAACTGATGCATTGCGGTGCCAATGCATGAAACGCCCCAGAGGCGCCCCCACGAGAAGCCGGCTGCTCCGCCAGAAACCCCACCTTCCCAGGCAAGAGGCCGCCGTCGGAGCCGAGGACGCTTTCACGCCTTCTCCCCCTTTGGCTTCTTCTTGCGCTTGGTCTTGTCGGGCTTCTCGCTGGTGCCCGCCGCCTGGTCCGCCGCCTGGCCGTGGTCGGAGTCGTCGGGGCTGGCCACGAGCGCGCCCCTCTGCCTGATCTTCGTCTCGAGCGCGTCGAGCTCCGTGATGTAGGCCGCCACGGCCTCCGTCTCGAACTCGTCGCCCGCGAACCCGCGCCCGCTGTAGGGATCGACCAAGCCCGACAGCGGCCACGCCGCCTTCCACGAGCCCTGGTTGATCGCCGCCTGCTCTAGAGCATTCATGACCTGCGCTGGCCGTGAGCCTCGTCGAACTTGTCGTTGTCCATGTACTCGAGAACCGCCACCAGCATGGCGAACGTCTTCTTGAGGTCGTACAGCTTTCCCCACGGGATGTGGCGCTTCCCGTAGTCGAGGTAGGTCCAAGCCATGCCATGCTGCACGTCCAGCGCTCGCTTGACCTCGCTCCTGTAGGCCTTCACCACGCGGAGCGGGTGCTGCTGCACTCTCTTCCTCAGGCGGCGCATGCCACGCACCGCCTTGCCGGCCTTCCCGACGCTGCCCACGCCGATGCCGTCCTCCTCGCCCGAGGAGGTGCTCTTCTTGCCTGACTCGAGCCTCTCTAGGACCTCGAGCATCCGCAACTGCAGCAAGCTCTGGAGGCCGTTCGCGTCCATGTTGCTGGCAGCGGCCGCCGCGCCGGACGGCTCCTGGGCCTGTCCAGCTCGACTGCCCGCCACTGACCTGAAGTCCTCCTCGTCGCTGCTGGAGAGCTGCCGCCGCCTGTCGGCGCGCGCAGCCGAGCGCCGCGGCGCCTGCGCCCGCTGGGGCGCTGCGCGCGCCTGGAGCGGCTCTCCGCCTGAGTCCGAGGAGCCGCTGCCCTCGCCGTCGGGCTCGGCCTGCTGGAGCCGTCGCGAAGCCCTCGCGATCAGGCGATCCAGCCCCGGCAAGCCTGTGCTGCCCGCGGAAGGCAGGCCGCCACCCGACTGCGCACTGGCGCCTCCGGCGGCAGCCCCCGCGGCAGGCGCCCTCGGCGCCGGCCGCCCGAACCCCGCCTCCACGTCCTCGGTCGAGGTGTGGAGGCCGCCTCCAGCTGCGACCAGCGCCGCCTGCAGGGTCTCGGCCTCGAAGCGCCGCTCCCCGAAGTGCATGTAGTCGTCGTCCCATGCCTCCGGCGCTTCCTCCCGAAGGCGCCTCGTCGCCACGACCACGAAGCCGACCTGCGAGCTCTCGCCGTCGGCGTCGGCGACGCTCACCTCGTAGTCTGCGCCACCCACTGCTCGAGCAGCAAGCGCGGGCACAGCCAGAGAGACTCTCTGCTGCTGCTCGTGGACCTCGGCCACGAAGCCTCCGACGTTCACGGCCTGGCGTCGCCCCGCTTGCCCGCCAGCGAGCCTGGCGAACGCGCGATCCCCGGGCGCCCAGGACATAACACCTGCACCTGCGCTGCTGCTCGAGCCACAGCAGCGCTTGAAGCCCCCCCCCTTCCCTTGCTGGTCTACTCCGTCTGCTGAGAGCTAAAGGGCATGTATTGCACCACGTAGACCCTTCAACATATGTTGCTCCGCATATATTCTCCTTTCTTACAAAAAGAATAAACTCTACCCCCCCCCCTGCGTTATCGCCCCCCCTTTCGGGTATGTAAATCACACATGATTCTGACCACATGTCCATCCTAAGTATGAAATCGCAATGTCCCAGGCCAGCCGGGTTCCCCCCCCTGAGGTTCCCTTGTAAAAACACTATGCGGTGACATTTTTGTTCTAACGTAGCACTTTTCCACGAATCCCTTGCAACAAATGGAACGAAGAGCACACGCGCGCGTCGTCGCGCGCGCATGCCGAAATCCTTCAAAAACCTTCGGTGCCGGAAGGATTTCGCAATCGAGTTTCCAAAAAAACATACAAACACACAAGGTTTCGTAACACTGATTAGCTAAAAAAGCTTACGCGCGAGCTCTTGAGAAATCTTATGAAAACCATTGGTTTTCAATATTTTCACACAATGCTACCAAACGGGCGTCGCGCGCGCATGTCGAAATCTGTCGAACGCCTTTGCGCGTGTGCCGTCGCGAGAATCCTCTGGACAAAAAAAAGACGAAGTGCAGACGCGCGCGTCGTCGCGCGCGTACCTTCAAAACCCATCGGTTTCGGAAGGGTTTCAAAATCGCGCGTCCAAAAACCTACAAAACACACAAGGTTTCGCAACACGGATTTTCAACAAAAGCGTGCGCGCGCGCTCTTGCGGCGTCGTCATCGTCGTCGTCGTCGTCGCCGTCCTCCCTCCTCCCGCGTCGTCGTCGTCGTCGCCTACGTCGTCCTGTGTCTTTCCTCGCGTTCGTCGTCGTCGTCCTCTTTGGCGTCGTGGTCGTTTCCGTCGTCGTTGTCGCCGTGGTCGTCCTTGCTCCTCCTCCCTCGTCGTCGTCGTCGTCGTCGTCGTCGTCCGTCGTCGGCGTCTCGTCGTCGTCCCTCCTATTTCGTCGCCGTCGTCGTCGTCGTTGTCGTCGTCGTCTCGTCGTCGTCTTCCCTCCTCCCTCGTCGTTGTCGTCGTGTGTCGCAGTCCTTCCTCCTTCTGTGTCGTTCGCGTCGTCGCCGTCCTCCCTCCTCCCTCGTTGTCGTCGTTGTCGTCGTTGTCGCCGTCGTCGTCCTCCCTCCTCCCTCGTCGTCGTCTTCGTTTGCGACGTCGTCGTCGTCGTCTTCGTCGTCGGCGTCGGCGTCGGCGTCGTCGTCTTCGTCGTCGTCGACGTCGGCGTCGTCGTCGTCGCCGCCGCCGTCGTCGTCGTCGTCGTCGTCGTCGTCGGCCGTCTTGCTTCTCCGGCCTTCTTGGGGCGCTCTTGAGACGCCCCCGAGGGCTCCAAGACGACCCCGGAGCGATATCTGTGCTCGGTCCCGCATGGGTTTTGCAAACCAAGTTGCGGGTGGGTGGGTGGGATGATTGCGCGAGCAGTGGAGTTGACAACTTCAAGTTCGGCAAGTGAATTGCACCACATAGGTTGCTCCATATAAATGGCACATGCGCGCATCGGTTGACATACGTACGCAAATCTGCAAGTTGCGCTCACTCTTTGGCGCAGCGCACCATCTTTGCCTCGCCAATTCGTCGGCGGCAGGGTCGCGAAAGAGCGAGCGAAATGCGGTTCTCGCCCGAGCGCCGCGCAGATTCCGCCCGAAAGCAGCGCTGCCCGAACCTGGAGCTCTCGTCTTGGTGCGGCGCAGGGCCCACTTAGCACTGGCGAGCGTCCGCACGCGTCGCCGCAAAGGGGTGGGCCGCATGCTCGGGCAAGATCCGGCCGTGCCTCCCGCCAAATGCCCGGCGAACTCCGTCCGCGCGTCGGGGGACCCGCTGCCAGGCTCGAGAGAGCGAACACCTGCCCAAAGATCTGCAGAATGCGAAAAGTGTTTGGCCCGTAGCAGGAGTAGCAGACCGATCCCAGGCGTCCCGATCCTCCACACTGATCACTGGAGCTCCCGATGCTGCTGAAGCTAGATGTACACGTGAAACCTCTGCAACTGCCCCGAATCTCGAGATGGGGTGGCCAGGTGCGGGTGGTCCCAACACTGTACGGCCAATGGCGGCGCGCACAAAAGCCTGGGACCACGGGGTGCCCCTCGAAGCATGAAGGGTGCGTCTCAAAGGGGTGTCCGGAAGCTCTCCAGAAGGACCTTCGGAAGCTCTCTCCAGGTCCTTCCAGGGTACTCCTCCAGGCCTTTCCACGATCGTCGGGCGCCCTGCTATCCAGGTTTGGGACTCCACAAGTTCGGGTGCAGGGTGGAGCTGGTTGGCCGGCCAGGCCAGAAAGGACAAAAGGAAGGTTTCCACGAAGGCTTCCCAGAAGGCCCCCCCCCCGCGGCCCACCCCGCTGCGCGCGCCGCCAAGGCCAGTGAGCCGCAGGTTTCGCACACCTGCTGACGTTCCTGCAGCTTGACGGCGCACCGTCGCTGCTTGAGCACCCGTAGTGGACGGTGAATGCATCCGTGATGTCGCACGGCCACGCCGGGGCCGTGCGCGGCTTGCCCCTGCCGCCGGCGCCCAGCGCCGACCGATCTTCGGACCACGGGCTGGCGGGGTCGGTCTCATGCCCTTCGTGCTGATGACTCGGAGCGCTGTCTTGACACATCACTGCGCATGCTGCAGGTGTGCTTCGTGGTGGTTGCTGTGCGTCGTGGCTCGAGCTATCGCAATATCTATGCTACCTCGCAAACGGGTGCGTGTTTCGGGCTGTGGGTGGGGAGGTGCGTTTGTGGTGGAGGCGGGGGGGCGAGGATGCAACAACAATCATGTCTGATCAAACTGTGCCTCCCTCCAAGCCCCTGGCGCCCCCCACATCCAAGAACCTTTTGTTGCACTTCGCGAAGCCGGCCTTGATCTCTTCTCGGGTCAGGGAGCCATCAGCATGAGTATCCATGCTGGTGAAGACTCTGCGGGCTTCCTTGTCCGAGGCAACGCAGAAGCAAAAAGGTTGTGGAAGTCTCGACATGCTGTAAACACACATGCACATTTGAGGAATCGAACTGAGGCTGCTTGGCAACACGCGCTTTTCCGCTGTCCAGCGGCATCACCCGTGCCGCCATGGCACTGTGCAACTCTCCGCTCCAAGCAATGCGAGCATCGATTCTTGGCACAATCATCGGGGGGGCGCAAACATGGATTAGCGATCCATGGATTTGGCGCGCGGTCGCCAAATCCATGGATCGGGGGAGGTGCCCTCCCCAAAATGCGGCCAGTGCCGCTTCGTCTGGCGGCGGGAATTCGCGATTTCCCCTGGAAAAGGGACCCATCGCTAATCCACGCCCCCTTGATCCATGTTTGCGATCGCCTGAGATGAGCCCCGCACGATGAGTGTGCACACTCGATGCCGTTGAGCTAGAGGTTCTCCCCCCTCCCCGACTCTCACAGCACTGCCCCTCACGCGTCCTTCTTCTTCGCCCGTTCCTCCCAAACAATACTGGGGGGGGGAGGAGGAGGAGAAGGAGGAGGAGGAGGAGGAGGAGGAGGAGGAGGAGGAGGAGGAGGAGGAGGAGGAGGAGGAGGAGGAGGAGGAGGAGGAGGAGGAGAGGGAGGGAGAGGAGGGAGGGAGGGAGGAGGAGGAGGAGGAGGAGGAGGAGGAGGAGGAGGAGGGGGGGTCACCACCAGGGCGGTCGCCTCCTCCTCGAGGAAAAGCACCCCTCAGACCCCCACAAACCGTCCAGAACCTGAGTAAGCGCATCACATCCTCCACGCATCTCATCGGTCCTTGATCCTGGATGCCCCGACCTTCGGAGGAGCTGTCGACCTTGTGGTGATCTGATGTTAGGAACATTACACCAGACAAAAAAACCCAATCAGTGGATGGCCTTGGAATTAGGGATATGGATATTGAGATCGATTTGAGATCGATAGTGAAGTCGATAGTGAGGCCGATTCAATACGATCGATAGTGAGATCGATCGTGAGATCGCTCGTGCGATCTATAGTGAGATCGATTGTGAGATCGATCGTGAGATCGATTGTGAGATCGATAGTGAGATCGATCGAGAAATGGGTAATGAGACCAATGGTGATACCGATCGGTAAGATCGACCAAGAACCCGGGGTCCTGGGAACCGCGCCACCCACCGAAATCGGCCCAGAACCGGAACCTGGAACCCGGAACCGGGAACCCAGGAACCCGGAACCGGGAAGTGAAAATACATGGGAGCGCAAAACAAGTATGGCGAAAGCGAATGAAACAATGCTGGGTAATCAAACAAGTTGCCTTGTCATGCTCTTTTCCAGATACGCCTCTTGTGCCTTCCCCCCTCGTAGCTTTGGCTATGCTTGATCCTCCTACTACTTCTGCCTCCTTCTCCAGGATTCCCCTGCCGCAGCTGCGGCTGACGCTGCTGCGGCTGTCGCTGCGGCCGCTGTCGCTGCTGCCGCTGTCGCTGCTGCCGCTGTGGCTCCTACCCCCCCTCCAGGACTACCCCGCCGCCGCTGCCACTTTCGCTTCCGCTGCTCCCCGGCCCTCCCTCGACACAGGGAGAGCCGCACCGCGCGCGCCGGTCCTCCATCCTGGTCGTGTCGCTCTGGTGCGCCGCCATCATACACACGGTCTTCTCGAATCGGCTCATCTCGGCGAACGTCTGCATCCTCGTAGGCCGAAGGCTGGGGGACAGGCGAGCAAGCGAGAGAGGCAGACCATCTCCAGGCGGAGGCGGGCGTTCAGGGGGTTCGGCGGAGCTCCCACCCGACCAGTCGGGAAGAGCTTCGTGCCCGAGTGCCAGGGTAGCGTGCTGTGGTCTCTGCTCGGTCCGCTGCCATTCCCACCGCCGTCGTTCCTGCTTTCTTCCCGTCCTGCCTTCACTCCGTCCGCACTGCCCGCCACCCTCCACTCCCGCTCCCACTGCTTCCCTGTTTCTGTCTTTGTTTCCTTGCGTTCTTCCATTCTCCTCATGTCTCCCCCCTCCTCTCCATGGACTCGGTCGTCCCTTCGCTCCTCCTTTCTCTGCCTCTCCCGCCCTCCCTCTCAGCTTCCCTGCTCTTCTTCCTTCCCGATGCACGACTTCCTGCCACACCATCCTCCTCCCGCTGCCTTTTGATCCACCACAAACCCAAACGTCTTACACACCTATCCCCTATGACGCTCTCCTTCTCTCGCTCTCTCTCTCTCTCTCCTTCCTGCTCTTCTCTCTCGCTCTCGCTCTCGCTCTCTCTCTCTCTCTCTCTTTCAGTCGCCTCTCCACGTGCCGAGCCCCTTGTCTCAAAGCACGCTCGACTCACGCCGTCGGCGGCGGCAGCGGCAGCGGCAGACGAGCAGCCGCCTGCGCCTGCCCGCCGGGGCAGGGGGCGTCCGAAGCGGCGGCGCGCCGCGGCTGGGCCAAGGGGGGGCGGCTCCTCCGAATCCGCCGGCCCCGTGGGACGCTGGAGGTCGCTGGGCGAATGCGAATCCCCCGCCCCGCGTTGCCCGGCGACGCACCCCTGTAGCCCCAGACAGGCCTCGTGCGACCACGGGGAGCGCCGCGCGAGGGACGACGGGGGGGCTCCCCTGGCCACAGCGAGCCGCGGCCACGAGCAAGCTCCTCGAGGACCGAGGCCCGAGGAGCGGCGCGGAGGAAGGGCTCCCTCCGTGAGCCAAGAGGGGGTCCTTGCTTCAGCACCTTGGCCGTCTGCCCCCGGCCCCGCCTGGGCCACCTCCGCGCGCGTGGGCGGCACGGAGGCCGCTTGGCGGGCCGCCCCCGCGGGCACGCCTCGCGGCACCCACACTGTCGCATGATTGATCGGGCATCGTGCTGCTCCGGGCTGCCGCCGCGCGTACGGCCTTGCTCTGCTCGTCTCTTCTCCCCCCCCCCCTCCCTCCCCACCTCCGCGTCCTCACTGTCGTGCCTCAGGGCTTCCTCCCGGGTTGTACGAAGGGTTCTCACCCTGTCCTCCTCCTCGTGTCGCTGAATCGCCCCCCCCCCTGCCCACAAACGACTACCTTCGGACCGTGTGGCAATCGTGTTCGGAATTTGAAGTGGTCCCCTTATCATGAATACGCCTCCCATCCCCTCTGCATGACGATTTCTAGGCTATGACCGACTGGTACTGAAACGGGTATCGTTTATGCTGTCTGGCCAGGAACAAGCCACCAGTCATGCTCCCCGGCCACATGGGCCAATGGGACACTAAAGGGACAGGCGTTGCAGAAAGGCTCAGTCCGTATTAAGTTCTGTTTCCGAATGTTGTTGTTAAGCGAGCGCCAGGGTGGTCCTCGGGCCACCCCCCTCCTGCCATGCAGTGGGATGTGGGATGTGCCCAGAACCAATCCAATAATCTCGCTGAAGCCTGGCTGGGGGCGTCGACGCTGTCCCATTGCAAAATTAATTGTTCATGCGCTGCTACCCTCTTTTAGCGCATCATGGCCGGAAGCACGTGCGCGGACGAGCGAGTCGGCCATGTGGATGCATGGAAAACAAAGGGTGGGGGCCATCAGTGTGGGAGAAATCATGACCCTGGCCGTGGTGGCCGCAAACCCTGTGCTCACTCCAATCTTCGATGAGGCGGGCAGGGAGCAGAACGGGGCGAAGAAACGCGCGAGCGAGAGAGAGAGAGAGACACAGATATAAGCAGGGAGAGAGAGAGAGAGAGAGAGAGAGAAAAGGGAACAACAGCACAGCGTGGGGAGACACCGCGGACGGGGGAGAGGCACGGCACAGCCTGCCGAAGGGGGGGATGGGCACCACGCCCGGAGACGCTCCGAGCCTGGGCCTGGCCGCGCGGGCCAGGCCGCCGCCCCGGGGGACGCCACCTCGGAGCCCGTGCTCCCTGGAGGCTCTGACTCTGGTCGGGCGGGTGGCAGTGGGGGGGGGTGACCCGGCCCAGATGGGGGGGGAGGGAGAAACGGGCCCCCTGAAGGGGGGGGGCCCTAAATGGGAGGTGACAGTGCGGGGTGGCAAGAGAGGGGGGGACCCAGATGGGGGGGGGGGGGGGGGAGAAACGGGCCCCTGAAGGGGGGGTGGCCCTAAATGGGAGGTGACAGTGCGGGGTGGCAAGAGAGGGGGTGACCCAAATGGGGGGGGGGGGGGAGAAACGAGCCCCCTGAAGGGGGGGGGGCCCTAAATGGGAGGTGATAGTGAGGGGTGGCAAGAGAGGGGGGGACCCAGATGGGGGGTGACCCTAATGGGGGGGGAAGAAAAGAGCCCTAAAGGGGGGGGACCCTAAATGAGGGGTGACAGTGCGGGGTGGCAAGAGAGGGGGTGACCCAGATGGGGGGTGATCCAAATGGGGGGGGGGCCCTAAATGAGGGGTGAGCATGCGGGGTGGTATGTAAGAGAGGGGGTGGCACCAGCTGGCGCCAAAAGGGGCCCTGAAAAGGCCCCAGTGGCACCGTCCACACGCGTCCGCCACACCCATTTTGGCACACCCCTGGCACGCTTCGCGGCCCCACAGAGAACTCCACCCGAGGCCCCAGTGGGCCCCTGTCGGGCCCTTCTCTGCAACCCCCGTGTGGGTCACCCCCACCCCCCAATGCCGCACGCCCGATCTGGGCGCGCCCAAGACACCCCGTGGACCAAACGTCGAGAACAGATCACGAGGACGGGAAAACAGACGCCTGGTCATCCTGCAGTCGGGGTGGAAAACAGAGGACGAGGATGAGAAGATCGTGCGGCGATTTGCTCAGGATGCTTCCAGAATTCCTGATCTGGCGGCTCTCGTTCCTGAAGCCCGCGTGGCACATTACAGGATATGGGAAAGGCGGGGCATCTTGGAACGCATCATGATCGTGACCTCTTGCTCCTCTAAAGAAGAGAGGGGGGAGCGAATCAGCCTCACGCAGCTGGTTTTCCGGCGCCTCCTGGCGCAGGAGGCGGCCACGTATCGAGGAACCTGCCAGGCGGCGGAAGGGGCCAACACCAGACGCATGCAGCAGATTTCATTACCCCCCCTGGTTCCCAATCCTTACCTTTAGACCGCCCCCCGTTACAAGCGTGCACCACCAGTGTCTTCCCCCACTCACCTTCACCACCCTCCTCTTCTTCTCCGTGAAGAGAAGGGCTTCTGAGGACAACATGCTAGGATGCGTGTTCGCATTTGTTCGCCTCCCAGGAACGGCCATTCCCGGGCCTCAGGGCCGTCATAACACGACTGAAACTGAAGAACAAGCCTTGGGGAAAACTCCAGAGTCCAAGTTTGTTTCCCTCCGGACCCGGTGCCCCCATTGCACGCTGTAGCTCAGCCGAATTCTCGCTTCGCGCTTCTCGAAACGCGCTCACCTTCGCGTCCCCCCTTGGAGAAGACAACTCGCTGGACCAAATCGCGAAGCGCGAGGTAAGGTTATATTCTAGTCACTGCCGATGATCCGGTTTCTCCCCCGCCTCGACCCTGGGAGCGGGAGGGGGCAGGAACTTCTGCAGAGTCTCCGAAGCGATTCAGGGTGTCGACTCCCTGCGGAATGCCCGAGGTTGCAACTCGAGATCGCGGAATGCACTCTCCAGCAAGCCAGCGTCTGCTCCTCCAGGGCCTCTCCACACGATGACCCTTCGCGGTCATCGCCGCCGCCCTTACCAGGCGCTCCGAAGTCGAGCTGCCAGGAGCCCGAACGGAAGAAGCGACCCCCCCTCCACTGGCCCCCTGCCAGGCCGAGGGGGGAGCCCGCGAGAGATGCCCACGAGGGAACGGTGGGACCCCGCCGAACCGCACCCCGTGCTCCCTGCACCCGACATGATGGGGCAGCGACCGGGGGAGGACTGGCTCACGGGGGAGGACATCGACCCGACATCGGCAGGACCTCGCCGACAGATCGCCGACTGGCCCCCGATGGCGAATCCGCACCTTCCTGGGCAAGGCGGGGCTCTCAGGCCCCCATCGGCGATCGGTGGGCGATTGGGGGTCCGTGCTCTCCCCCCTTGCGCCTCTCCCCTGACCGACGTGCTGGCCGTCCGGCCCGCGGCCCAGGGCAACCCGAAGGGGTGTGCCGGCGGGGCGCCGCGAGGCTTCCCGGCTCATCTTCTGCGAGAATCCCCGCTTCAGGTCGCTGGCTTGCGTGCTCGAGGACTCGGCGCTCAGCCACGACCCGGGCATCTCCAGCGCCGTGGTCGCGTCCAGGCGGCCCTGCCCCTTCGCCCCCGAAGCTCGGAGGCGGCCAAGGGGTCTGAGCTGGGGGGGCCCCGAGACAATCGTCAAGACAGGGGGGGAGGCACATCCGCTCAAAATCAGCCCCCGGACCCTGCAGCTTCTCACGCCGGACCCGTGTTGGCTCCGTGCACGGCCCCCGGATGAGGAGGAGGAGGAGGAGGAGGAGGAGGAGGAGGAGGAGGAGGAGGAGGAGGAGGAGGGGCAGCAGAGAGCTTTGTCGAGCCCAGAGCCTCAGACCGCGCCCCCGCGTGCTGCTGGCCAGCACCAGGCGCTGGGCCGCCGCAGACCCCAAGCCGGCTCCAGCGAGGATCCCTCTCCGCTTCTTCTGCTCCTCCTTCTCCTCCTCCTTCTCCTCCTCCTCCTCCTTCTCCTCCTCTCCTCCTCCTCCTCGTCTCCTCCTCCCTCTTCTCCTCCTCCTCCTCCTCCTCCTCCTTCCTCCTCCTTCCTCCTCTCGTTCTCCTCCTCCTCCTTCTCCTCCTCCTCCTCCTCCTCCTTTTCCTCGTTCTCCTCCTCCTCCTCCTCCTCCTCCTCCTTCTCCTTCTCCTCCTCCTTCTCCAGTCCCATTGTCATGTTCATCCTATTCCTCCTCCCCCTCCGTCTCATCCACCACCACCTCCTTTTTCCTTTTTCCTTCTTCTCTCTTCAAGCTTCGGGGCTCGCCCGGGGAAGGCGCACTTCGCCCAAAGGGTGACTGCCCCTCTGCGGGGTTCGAAAGCAGAGGAGGTGCCGGTCAGGAGTCTGAGAGCCTCTGGCGAGAGCGCTGCCTGGGAGACGGGCACGCGGCACGCGCGCAAGACTCGTCCAGAGGACCCCCGCCGTCTTTACGCATCGAATCATGCTTCACGATGCGGGAGACACGAACAAGCCTAGGAGACGGGCACGTGGCACGCGCGCAAGACTCGTCTAGAATATTCTCGCCGTCTTTACCAGTCGGCGCATGTTTCACGATGGCGAACAAGCTGGAAGCACAAGTCTCGGCGCGTCCACCAGGTCAAGAGGAACAACAGAGCCAGCAGGGCCTGCCATGCCACATTTCCTCAGAATCAGTTTCCACGTGGCCCAATTGCCCTCCTGCTCCTCCTTATCATGGCCTGCCTTTTCCTGCGGCTGCTCTTCCCGCTGCTGCTGCTCATGTTCCTGTTGCTGCTGATCCTCCTCCTTCTGGATGGCCCCAGCCGAGTCCGTCGGGTTCTTGTTCAAGAGGCCTTTGATCAACTGGACGGCAGACACGGGCGCGTGGGCCTTGTCCAATGGCCTGGGCACTCCAGGCTCGACTCGTCGCCCAATAGGCCAGAGCTAAGGGATCGGATCAAGCACTTATGGCGAACATGCAGAATTACGCTACCGAGGAACCCCACATACTTAATTTAAATCTTATGTGCTTGCTTGAGTTTATAATATATGCGCAATTCTGCGTTCTCAGCCCTCGTCGCGAATGTTCCCCTCTGTGTCATCCAACCCCATATTGCTTGAACCGCCTCCCTCTTCCTAGCCTTCTTTCTATCCTCCATCGAGGACAGATTCGAGCTAGCCAGCGGCCGCGGTGAGGGACCACCCCCTGCGCACCCTCTATGGTGTCGAGAAAATGCCCTGGACGACAGTCGTGCATGGCGGCCGCGGTGAGGGACCACCCCCTGCGCAGCCTCTATGGTGTCAAGAAAATGCCGCGCCTGCTTTGCCATGGGCGACCGTCGTGCATAGCGGCCGCGGTGAGGGACCACCCCCTGTGCACCCCCTATGACGTCGAGAAAGTGCCACGCCTGCTTTGCCCTGGACGACCGTCGTGCATAGCGGCCGCGCTGAGGGACCACCCTCTGCGCACCCCCTGTGGTGTCGAGGAAGTGCCACTCCCGCCACGATCTGCGAACGTGTCACGGATAGAGGCCGCGCTGAGGGACCACCCTCTGCGCACCCCCTGTGGTGTCGAGAACGTGCCACTCCTGCCACGATCTGCGAGCGTGTCACGGATAGAGGCCGCGCTGAGGGACAACCCTCTGCGCACCCCCCGTGGTGTCGAGAACGTGCCACTCCTGCCACGATCTGCGAGCGTGTCACGGATAGAGGCCGCGCTGAGGGACCACCCTCTGCGAACCCCCTGTGGCGTCGAGAAAGTGCCACTCCTGCCACGCGAGCGTGTCTGCGAGCGTGTGCACGATCTGATAGAGAGGCCGCGCTGAGGGACCACCCTCTGCGCACCCCCTGTGGTCGACCAAGTGCCACTCCTGCCACGATCTGCGAGCGTGTCACGGATAGAGGCCGCGCTGAGGGACCTGCGCACCCCTGTCGAGAAAGTGCCACTCCTGCCACGATCTGCGAGCGTGTCACGGATAGAGGCCGCGCTGAGGGACCACCCTCTGCGCACCCCCTGTGGGTCGAGAAAGTGCCACTCCTGCCACGATCTGCGAGCGTGTCACGGATAGAGGCCGCGCTGAGGGACCACCCTCTGCGCACCCCCTGTGGTGTCGAGAAAGTGCCACTCCTGCCACGATCTGCGAGCGTGTCACGGATAGAGGCCGCGCTGAGGGACCACCCTCTGCGCACCCCCTGTGGCGTCGAGAAAGTGCCACTCCTGCCACGATCTGCGAGCGTGTCACGGATAGAGGCCGCGCTGAGGGACCACCCTCTGCGCACCCCCTGTGGTGTCGAGAAAGTGCCACTCCTGCCACGATCTGCGAGCGTGTCACGGATAGAGGCCGCGCTGAGGGACCACCCTCTGCGCACCCCCTGTGGTGTCGAGAAAGTGCCACTCCTGCCACGATCTGCGAGCGTGTCACGGATAGAGGCCGCGCTGAGGGACCACCCTCTGCGCACCCCTGTGGTTCGAGAAAGTGCCACTCCTGCCACGATCTGCGAGCGTGTCACGGATAGAGGCCGCGCTGAGGGACCACCCTCTGCGCACCCCCTGTGGTGTCGAGAAGTGCCACTCCTGCCACGATCTGCGAGCGTGTCACGGATAGAGGCCGCGCTGAGGGACCACCCTCTGCGCACCCCCTGTGGTGTCGAGAAAGTGCCACTCCTGCCACGATCTGCGAGCGTGTCACGGATAGAGGCCGCGCTGAGGGACCACCCTCTGCGCACCCCCTGTGGTGTCGAGAAAGTGCCACTCCTGCCACGATCTGCGAGCGTGTCACGGATAGAGGCCGCGCTGAGGGACCACCCTCTGCGCACCCCCTGTGGCGTCGAGAAAGTGCCACTCCTGCCACGATCTGCGAGCGTGTCACGGATAGAGGCCGCGCTGAGGGACCACCCTCTGCGCACCCCCTGTGGTGTCGAGAAAGTGCCACTCCTGCCACGATCTGCGAGCGTGTCACGGATAGAGGCCGCGCTGAGGGACCACCCTCTGCGCACCCCCTGTGGTGTCGAGAAAGTGCCACTCCTGCCACGATCTGCGAGCGTGTCACGGATAGAGGCCGCGCTGAGGGACCACCCTCTGCGCACCCCCTGTGGTGTCGAGAAAGTGCCACTCCTGCCACGATCTGCGAGCGTGTCACGGATAGAGGCCGCGCTGAGGGACCACCCTCTGCGCAGAAAGTGCCACTCCTGAGCAAGTGTCACTCCTGCCACGATCTGCGAGCGTGTCACGGATAGAGGCCGCGCTGAGGGACCACCCTCTGCGCCCCCCCCGTGGTGTCGAGAAAGTGCCACTCCTGCCACGATCTGCGAGCGTGTCACGGATAGAGGCCGCGCTGAGGGACCACCCTCTGCGCACCCCCCGTGGTGTCGAGAAAGTGCCTCTCCTGCCACGATCTGCGAGCGTGTAACGGATAGAGGCCGCGCTGAGGGACCACCCTCTGCGCCCCCCCCGTGGTGTCGAGAAAGTGCCACTCCTGCCACGATCTGCGAGCGTGTCACGGATAGAGGCCGCGCTGAGGGACCACCCTGTGCGCACCCCCTGTGGCGTCGAAGAAGTGCCACTCCTGCCACGATCTGCGAGCGTGTCACGGATAGAGGCCGCGCTGAGGGACCACCCTCTGCGCACCCCCTGCCACGCTCTCCGACCCTGGCGCGCATAGAGGCCGCGCTGAGGGACCACCCCCTGCGCACCCTCTCTGGTGTGCTGTGCTGCGGTGAGCTGTGCTGTGCCGTGCTGAGCTGTGCTGTGCTGAGCTGAGCTGTGCTGAACTGTGCTGAGCTGTGCTGTGCTTTGTGTGTGGGGGGAGGGGAGGTGTGTGTGAGGAGACGCGGGTGCGACGCGGCAGAGAAGAAAACCAGAACCCCACGAAACATGTGGGGAAAAAGAGCAACAGACATCGGCTGCAAAAGGATGGGACAAGCGGCACATGGCAGTGGCAATGCCTGCATCGGAACGCCGTGCTGCCAAAGGGTTGCATAGCAGTCTGAGCCCCCAACCTCAATCTGAACTTGGAATGCAGGATGCGCTGGAACAGCTTGTCGGTGGGCATGCTTGGAGCATTCTCGTTGTTCTCCTGGAAGGGAAACTCGCCCGTCAAGACGATGTAGATCATTATGCCTAGCGACCTGTGCGGAAGACAGTCGCCAGAAGAAAGCGAGCACGCAACAAACCTGGCTCTCCAATCGGGGATGGACAGACCCCCCTTCAGTAAAACGTGGTTTAGTGAAAACGACCTGAGGCCCAAACTTGGCGGGCGCAAGCCTGGAAAATAACGGCCGCGGCGCCCTCTCGAGAACCGAAAACGGACAATTCACTAATCGACGTGTCACTGTTGGGGGTTCTGTCCACCCCCGATCCAACATCGGCGCCTGGGCTCCCCGGAGAGCCAGGAATTATTGAGACGAGCTCTCTTCTCGATCTTACGGGGGGCCCCCTAATTAGGGGGCAAACGAACCTACCTCGCTTTTGACCACCCTCGCTTCCAAGAGATACCAAGCGATGCCAAACTACGGCATGTACTGGTCAGGCCGCTTGACGAGGAGGCGTATGGTATGACTTGGTTTTGCCTGGAAGCGAAAGCGGGGTAGGTAATTCACGCTCTGACTAATGTCACTCCTGAAGCTGCGCGGGGCGCGGTCGTCTTTGTGCTCCCATGCGCCCCCTGTGGAGAAGGACAACTCTCTGCCACGAAGCGCGATTACCTCGAGCCCCCATGGGCGCCCTCAATGGCCACCAGCGGCGCAACCGCAGTCGTCCTCGACTTTGTCGCCATGGCCGTTTCTTCGTCTTCCTCTTTCTCGCATTTGCCGAAGGCATCCGGTCGGCAGCGATGGGCTGCTCCTGCTGGTGTGCCGATCCCGCGCCACAAGTCTGGTGGTCAGCAGGGCTGATCTGCTGATCTGATGCCCCTCGGTCAGGCCTTTGCTCCGCTCGCTGGGGTCAACAACAACGCGCGGGTCACCGAGAAAGGGGACGCGAGCGAGCACGCGTTGCCGTTTTCACCTGGCTGGGCCTGATCAGCGCTGGGAGGCGCCCCGCACTGCCAGGCGTCGCGCTCATCATGATGACCGTGATGCGGTTGTCCCAGGCAGAATCGGCTGGGCGTACCATCGCAATGGACGCGCCCATCTCTGCTCGAACAGGCGGCAGACGCTCCCTCTTGCACTCCTCCTGCCCGCTGCGGCCTCGGCTGGGCCCGCCCGCCTCTCCCCCCGAAGGAACAAGCGCCGGGCGACCAGCAGTCGCACTTGACGCCGTAGCTCCTCCTCTCGATCACCTCCGGGGCCACGAAGAACTTGGTGCCAAGCGACTCCTTCATGTACAGCTCGCCGGCGACGCTGTCGGGCTTGATGGCCGAGAGGCCGAAGTCTATGACCTCGCCGGCCGCGCGGCGGCGCGCACGCGCGCGCGCGCACGCGGCGGCAACAACGACGACGACGACGACGACGACGACGACGACGACGACGACGACGACGACGACGACGACGACGACGACGACGACGACGATTCCGACGACGACGACGACGACACCGACGACGACGACGCCGACGCCGATGACTATGATTATGACGACGATGACGACGACGATGATGTCGAGGTCTTGGCAGCGCGCACGCGGCGGCGCCGCGAGGGGGGCGGCGCCCTCCAGGGCGGCCCTCCCGAGGGAGCTGACGGTGCTGCCGAGGAGGCCCCCGGCCCTCGGAGAGGCCCCTGCTGGCCTGCTGAAAGGCCGCCCCCCTCGCGCCAGCCCCTCGTGCGCGCCGTCAGCTGCCCTCGGGATGTGTGCCTGCTGCCGCCCCCCCGCCCCTGCCCCCCCCCCCCCGCCCCCGAGAGATGCATGCTTCCACCCCCGTCAACGCCCTCGGGCTATGCCTATGCCCCCTCGTGCGCGCCGTCAGCTGCCTTCGCCGCCCCCGCCCCCCTCCCTCGGGATATACCTGCTTGTGCTCCGCCCACCCTCGGGATGTGACATACCTGCTCGTGCGCGCCGTCAGCTGCCCTCGGGATACACCAGGAGCACGTGCAGACGGCCGCCTCGCCTCGGATTCTGCCGCAGATTCACGGAGGCCCGAAGAAAAGAACAGGCGGGCGTTTGCGTCAAGTCGGCTCGTTGACGACGTGGGTCATCATGTCAGGCACTAAGTGAACCGCTCAATCTTGAGCGACCTCTGCTCTCGGGGGGGGGGTCCCTGGCGCTGTCCCTGGATCAAAGGCCGGTATCTAGTTGCGAAACCAATTCTTATACACCACCACCGCCCGCAAAACAAATAATCGCAAAAATGGCTGAAACAAGGTGATGCCAGACGAGGCTGCGACCCCGCGGCGACCTGAAGAGCGGCGCGGCGCCCGGGCGCCGTGGTAGGGGAGTTCCTGACACCGAAACAACACTTCTTGGTGGTGGTGTATAAACATCTTTCCTCTATGAAGCCAGAACCATAGACACCACCACCGCGCGTGTTTTGATGACTCCCACCAACCCTATGGGCGTAGGTGGTTTAGGGCGGCTCCTCTTCCAACCCCCTTTCTCCCCCCCTCGGGGAGGGGTTTATCACTGTTCCCCATTAGTGTACACTCCCTCCCCCAGGCGACTGGGAGCCAACCCGAGACCATGCGCCCCCCCCCATCCCTTGTAAAAAGCAATGCGAACCACACTCTGCCTCCAAATTCGGAGCATGCGCAGCGAACCCGATGCGGCCTCCCCCCATCATCCCTGTCAAAAACAATACAGAGTACACTTGGCGGCGGCGGCTGCGGCGGGGGCAGCGGCTGCGGCGGCTGCGGCGGTGGCGGCGGCGGTGGCGGCGGCGGGGGCAGCGACGGCGGCAGCGGCGGCGGCGGCGGCGATTCGGCAGCGGGGGCGACGGCGGCGGCGGCGGGCGGCGCGGTGACGGCGGCGGCGGCGGATTCGCCCCCAGTAGCTGCCCATCCAAAGACGACCGCTGAATATGCTGCGGTTCGGGTCAGGCTCGGGTGCTACGTATGTGTTGGGAGGGCGGGTGGGAGTGAGCGAGACGGCTTGCGGGCGGGGAGGGAGTCTTGACCCCTCCCCCTACCCCCTCCCCTGGACTTAGACGGGGGGGCGCGAGGTGTCGGAGCGTAGGAATCCCCCTTATTTGATCGATCTCCTCCGAGATGGCCCCACGAGCGCTCCCAAGGCTCCCCAGGGTGCCCCAAGAGGTGGCCAGGATGCCCCGAGAGGCCCCCAGAATGCCCCCAAGAGGCCCCCAAGAGGCCCCAAGAGGCCCCCCAGAGGCCCCCAAGACGCTCCAAGAGGCCTCGGCGACAATCCCCAAAACATTGATTTTACATAGGTTTTGGCAACATTTTGGCCTCCTGGGGGGGGGCACTGCTTCAAATGACTCCAAGAGCGCCTGGGAGAGCCCAAGATGACCTCCAAGATGGCTCAAGATATCCCAAGATGCCTCAAGATGGCTCCCACGATGCTCAAAGAGGCCCCAAGACCGCTCCAAGACGGCTCCAAGTGGCCAACGAGCTCCCCCAGGAGGCCCCGGAGAGGCAAACATCCTTCCAACACCTTCGGAAAATCAATGTTTTTGGCTTTCTCGCCGAGCCTCAAGATGGCTCCAAGATTGCCCAAGAGGGCTCCCAGATCGCTCCCAAGGCTCCCGAGAGCGGTTCAAGACGGCCCCAAGAGGCGCCCAGGAGGCCCCAACAGGCGCCCAAGAGGCCTCCAAGAGGCTCCCAAAGATGCCCCAAGAAACCCTTCAAGGCACCCAAGATGCTCTAAGAGGCGCCCGGGACCGCCAAGAGGCCCCCAGGACGCTCCAAGAGGCTTCCACTGAGGTGCCCTTCCTTTGTGTGCTACCCACTTCCCTGATCGAGGCATTTTTTTTACGACGACATGGGAGCGGTTACGGATGAAACTGATTTCACAGATGGGAGTGTCCACGTGTGGCGGGTGCGACCACACCAGCAACACCGAAGCCCTGACTGGTACCGCCGTACCCGCATAAGATTAAGTACATTCCTTGCTCATCGCTGCATTGCCGAACTGCCTCTTGCCTGCTGTGCATGGCCTGTCGCTACAACGGTGCAGCACGCTTGATGCGGGCTGGCATGCGCTGTGCGTTGGAAATCCCTGAAGGCGGCCCAGGGAAGAGACCCCCCACTGGCCAGAGCCGAAGACTTACATACATGCTGTTCGTGTGGAATGTGGCAACAAAAAGAAGGTCCTGCTATGGCGGGTGACGAAAGATGGGGAGGGAAGTGCTCCTCATCTCCAACTCCTCGAGGATAGCAGGTAAGAGGGAGAGTGAATAGGAGTCTAGCTACGGCTCTGAACGAGGGGCATTAGAAAGGACCTCTTGGGGCACATCAGGAAAATAAAAATTCAGCAGCCTCCTCATCAGCGGCTAGATCGTGGGTGTGTGCCTCAGGATCAGCATTATCTGAAGGGAGGTCGCCTGTCTGATGTGTGAGATCAGTCTCGGAAACTACTATGGGCCTCGCTGCAGGGAGTGTGCCGCCAGGTACAAATCGAATCATCCTGTCATTCGTCGGAAATGGTCCAGCCATATCGATATCTCCTCCTCCAGCCAGCTCGCTGGGGCTGGGCCCAGGTGGTGCTTCGCGATCCCTTCTGACCGTAGGCCAGCGAGCAGGAGGCCTCGTCCCTGCCAGCCCTTGGCGCCGAGGATCAGCTTGGCGGTGTTCGGGTCGTGCGTCTTGTCGATGCGCAGGAAGGCGACTTCGGTCTGGAGGGTCTCTACGTCGATCAGCGGCTCGAGCTGAGGGTCCTCTGGCTGGCATTTCTCGAGGTACTCTTCAATCTCTTTGCGAACTCGGCCTCCCGCTTCGCATGTCAGTAGCCCTTCCAGTATGGCGAGGGCGAGTGCGGGGGTCGGAGGGCCCAGCATTTTGAGCGCCTCGGTGTCCTTGTTGGTGCGGTAGTTGTTGACCCGTGTCTTGAAACCCTCGAGTTCCGTCGAAGTCTGGGAGACTGTCGGGTGGTTGATTGGTCGCGTCCATGCGTCGGCCACCGTGCACATGATCATCCGTATTTTTTTGGATGTTCTGGAGTGTGAGTGTCATCAGCGAGGTGAGCAGCATCTGCATGTTCTTGTCTTTGTTCGTCCACTGCTTGTCGGTATGCTGTCCTCGATGGGCTCGTCGTCCGCCTCTGCGTCGAGCACGGCGTGGCTCGTTCTGCGGCTCTTCCACGTCCATGTCGTCGTCCTCCTGGTCCGCTGCTGGCGTCGGTTGGCCCTTGTTGCCCTTGGTCCCCTCGACCTTGCGTCGGCGCTGGGGTGGTTCGTCGGCTTTGGAGTCGTTGCCAGAGGTGCCAGACTTGGTCAAGGACGGTAGCGGGCCTCTCCACGGGGCACGTGCTCCGCGTCGCGGTGCTGCTTTGGGCTGAGCTATGTTCGGCGCCGCTGCTGGTGGCGTGCTGCTGTCCGCTGCTGAGGCCATCAGATGGGGCTGGCGTCGAGCTGCGGGCTGGTTCTGCTGGTCGTGGAAGTCGCGGTAGTGTAGGCGTGGACGTCAAGGCTGTGGTAGTCGCACTGCTAGTGTCGTGTGTAGGTGGTGGTCGTCGCTGTTGCGGCCGTCGAGCTCGTGAAGTAGTCGATGCTGTGGCTGAAGCTCGAATATGTGTGCCCAGCTGAAGCGTCGCTGCCTGTCGGATCTCTTGTCGGAGCGGTCGAGGCAATTCCTCTGGGCATCTTTTCTGGATGGGCTGGTGGGGTTACTTTTTTGATCTGCGGCCCAAAGGACGGCTCCAGAGGGCGGGTCAATCTCGACAGGGGCGCAAAGCGAGACGATTGGCAACGAAGGCACATAGGCCAACGCCGCAATGCACGTGCGAGGGACAAAACGAACTTCATTAGAGCCGACCCGGGGACGGAAAACGGCAGCAGACTGGAAAAGCCAGCGGAGGGTCGCACTGTGGCGCCAGCCCCCGCAGACCAAGCCTGCGAGAAGGCGGGAACACTGTGCGGGCAGCACAGAGCCCAAGGAAAGGCACCGCCAAACGCGGCGAGGAGGAGCAGAAGCTGGTGGGGTTACGCGAAGCGTCTAGAATTTTCGTTTCGGTCCTTAAGAGGGAGGGAACAGCCCGGTTGCCGATGGCGGCGGGAGTGGGGCTGGGGGCTTTCCACCATAACAAACTGCACCAACTCGGATCTTAATTGTTTGCCGATCTTGGTGGTGGTGGTCATATGCTGTGCTCGGACTAGTGGTCCATTCAGCACGACGTGCGTGATGGGTACGCCAACATGAAGTCCCCTTCAAACGTCTTGAGGGGCAACTGATGGGATAAGATAAGAACGCGGCTATCGCAGGCAATGGTGACGTGACGTCCAGCCGGGATGGAGCAGCGCAGGGATGTGGAACATAACCAGTGTGTCACTTCTTCTGACTCCAAGTTTGCGTGTCGCTTGAACGCGGTTCGGCGCCGAATGGAACGCCCCAGGGCACACCGGCGTCGAGTGGCACGACATGGCGCTCAACCATGAAACGTGGTCTGACCTGGGAAAGATGGGCCAGCTGAGCGCCTCTGGTCGGGAAGGAAGAGAGGAGGGGGAGGAGGAGGAGGAGGAGGAGGAGGAGGGGGGGGGAGGAGAAGGGGAGGGAGGAGGAGGGAGGAGGAGGGGGGAGGGGGAGGAGGAGGAGGAGGAGGAGGAGGAGCAGTATAAATGACGCGCGGCCGTTGGGAGCCCATCGGCGTGTCCACTCCTTTGTTGTGGTCCGACGGTCTGGCGCGCTGCCGCAGCAATCACACGCCGCCGTGGGTCCCCCACGGCGGCGTGCCATTGATACAATTCGTCCTGGAGGTCCGTTGGACACGACATGCCATTGATACAATTCGCCGGATTATTCTACAGGGCAGTTTTTTACCACATAGGATGTTTAAACCATATGGGACTTTAATACATGGTTAATGTATGAATAAATGTATGCATAAACTCATCGTTGCTTTGAATACTACATCCCTGCATTATTAATACATGGTCCGCACGCGAAGCATATATTAAACACGGCACTGTATCCTGGGGTCGTCATGGCGGGTCAGCTCAGGGACTGCGGGGCTCCGTGATGCGCGAAGTGTGTGAGGGGTGCGTGGGACCTACGATCTCTTCAACAGTCTTGCAAGAGCCCCATACCTGTGGAAGCTCCTGGGGCACCCCCCAGTGCTTGAGAGGTGTGCAGAATCGAGCTCCCCGAAGGCCCTGGACTCCATTCATTGCGCATGCATTCCGCACCGTGGGCTCTCTTTCAGCGCCATCCTGATGGGGACTGAGCGGCCGGGGGCTTTGGTCGATGCAGGAAAAATTGCGCTTTCCTGCCACTTCCCTGCATCTCCGCGCGACAGTGCCGCTGTCCTGCCACTCTCCTGCCACCTCCCTTTGCGCTGCCAAAGCGCACGTTCTTGGGTACCCGTCTCGGTGGCGCTAACAATTCCGTGGGTCCTGGAGCCCAGATTGGGCCCCCATGGTGCGCTTAGCCTTGAACGCCCACGTCGGCACCGTCTCTCTCTCTCTCTCTCTGTGCAGATGTGCCTCCCTCTGTCTCTGTCTCTCTCAGCCTCTCGCTCTCTCCCTCTCTCTCTCTCACTGCCTCTCCCTCTCTCTCGTTCCATCTCTCTCCCTCTCTCTCTCTCTCCATCTCTCCCTCTCTCCCTTTCTCTCTCCAGTCTCGGCTCGAGTACCTTCGGATACAAGTGTAGCCACAGACACGAAGCGCCCAGCATTAATGTTGATGGCATCGAGAGACTGGACACACGCCAACCCAACGTGTGACCGATTAATGTCAAACCCTCCATTCCAGTATCAGCACGCGCGCCATGGCCCCGAAAGGTCCTCGCCGTGAGCGTACCAGTCCTCAGCAGCGTGAACCACCAAACAAAAAACGCCAACAAGTACCCTTACCAGGCAGCAGCCTGTCCCGAAAAGAAGCCTGCGTCGCCGCACTCCCGGGCAATGGTGGTGTCAACCGAGCAGTCGCTGCAAACATCGAAGTCGCCCATAAACACCAAACTGAACCCGGCACCGCTTACCAACAACACCGTTCCAACCAGCACAGGCTCAAGGACGAGCCGATGAAACCGTGCGGCAACACCAGGGTCAACTACACCCAACCCGTATAAGAAGGATACGCGATGAGGATGCAAGGGCCTTGGAAAGCCATGTCGACCCTTTGCGGGCGGGGCGCGGCTAACGAAAGTCGCCAAGGATGGACCGAGGAGGCAAGGATGCGAGGGTACCCTTGGGAAGGCTGCCCATCCTTACTATGCGGGTTGACTGTATACCATGCTGCGCTGCTCCCTGACGCACAAGACGAGCTCCGGCCGTGACCCACCAGGGTCCACGGCCTCTGCCGACGCCCACCAGGGCAACGCCACCGCCCCCCCTCGCCAGCCCGACAACACAACACGAGGCTGTCCCCACCGCTCTGGCTCCCAGCGCGGCGGAAGACGGCACGTCGTACACCAGCAGCATCTCCCTTCACATGCGAGGAGAAGGCAGTTGGACCCTGCAACAAATCCGCCGACAAGATAAGCCCCTCGCGCTAACCGCCCTGGGACCAATCAGCACCGACTACCCAAGGAAAGAAATCCAAATCCCTGCCCTCCGTAGGACGGCTATGGCTACCAAACTTAGACCAGGACGCACGCACACGGGGATCAAACCACCAACTGAGCCGCACAGAGGTCGAGTGTCTGCAGAACGTCGTCCAACTGACCCTTGACCCGACAGACATTGTGATCTGGATCCGTGGATGGGCGAGCAACAACATATGTACACGTACGCCCTCCGCGGTCTTGCCTGTACGAACGTCCGCGTTGCCACGCACTCCAAAGGAAGCTAACCGCGTACGTGTACATATGTTGCTGGCCTCTGAGTGGAGCTATCTGCGAAACCGCTGCTATTGCCGTCGCGCCACGCCAGCACTGCAGGAACTAATTCGCGCCCCAGCTCTCGGGCGCAGCTCCCGCCAGCGGCGCGCCAGCCAGCCAGGATATATGCAGGCACGGCGCGGCAGAGAGCCCAAGAGCGCCATCCGACGGCGAAGTTTGACACTGCACGCAGACAGCTCGACGACGACCTCGCCGAACCTCCTACTGCTATCGCTGCCCCCCGCTGCCGCGCAGCACAAAGTCAGGGGCCCATGGAGCTACTGGGGCGTCGCGGCATGGCAGCGGGCAAGCGCGCGCTCACCGCCACCTTTGGCATCTGGCAAACCGACGTCCCAACCGTCTTGGCCGCCTCAGGCCAATTGGGCGGCCGGTTTCACATCAGCAACCACGGCGCCAACGGCCCTGCGCCCAGTGAGCGCATCGCGATGTATCATCGAAACGGATCACGCTCCAAGAGGCCCGCCAGACCTCCCAGATGTTCAACGCCTTCGGAGCCATTCGCGCCGACGGGCGAGTAGGCACCCGCGCGAAACAGGGCACGAACGAAGCTAAGCAGGTCGCCCATCGGGCCCAGCGGAGCTGACGCGGCGCTTGCAAATACCAGATATCGTGCCACAGGCATCGGGCCCCAGAGTGTCACGAAGACGCAAATCACCTAAATTGTCGCACCCATCCAATGGCACTGTGCAGTCCGGCGCACGGGATGGGACAAAGTCGCCAGGGGGGGCTTTGCCACCATCAAAGCGCCCCCTCCTATATACCACTGTTCACGTTCAAGGACCCACCACCCCATGGATCATCGCTCAGCACCTCCCAGACGAATCCTCCGAAAACGCCGACGGAAGAAGATCGTCTCACCCATCGCTTCGGCGGCGCCCACGCTGGGACCCACAACAGGCAGCATGAACACCAGCACCACGCAGACTCTTCAAGACAGGGCGGCCACCAGGCCGCACTTGCAAGCGCTGCTGATACCGCCGTAAAACAAACTGAAGGGGAACTGGAGCACACAAATAAATACACACAAATAAAAATATCCCCCATATTTTCCCATATGTTCTGGGTTTTTGTCTTCCCCACCACTTCCCATATTTTTGCACATTTTCCTGGGAGTCGACGATTCATTGTGTCTGTGTGTTTCTTTCCCTCCTGACAAACAAAGAAGCACGCAGCCCCTTGGAACGCCGCCCCTGGAGAAGAAACAGCGTGGCACCAACGCGACGAGGACTGCACCGGGCCGGCTGTCCCTACCAGCGCAGCGCAGCGGCCCTACCATAGGTTCCCGAGACGACGAGGCCCTACCAGCGCAGCGGCCCTGCTGGCGCACCTTGAAGCTCACCGCCAGCACACCGGTGCTGGCCTCTCCTCTGTCGGTTTTTCGCTGCGAGAGCTGGCAGCTGTTCCGCGGCCTGTGCACTGGGCCGCTGCGCGAAATTCCTCCATGTGGCACCACGGTTCGCCGAGTTGCCGATGCGCGCAGGCCGAAGCGCGCTGGAAGCCGACGGGGTGTGCAGACGGGGCATGTCACGCCCTGATCACCACATCACCACGCACCCCTTTTTGTCGCTTGGGAACCCTTTAGTCCGCGCCACGGGGGAGGGTCTTTTCCCCAACCCCTGTTCGACTTGCGGCACCTCCTGCCATTGTGAAGCTGGCCCGGGAGGCATTTACAACCCGCCGGGCAAGGGCAGACAGACTTGTCCGAATTGTTGCGGTCTCTCTTTCTCTCTCCATCTCCCCCTGTCGCTCTGTCCATCTGTCCCTGTCCCACTCTCTTTCTCGCTTCCTCTGTGTCCCTCCATATCTCTCACACTCTCTCTTCTCGTTCCTTTTCTGCCTCTCACTCTATTTCATTACCTCTTTCTCTCTCTCCCTCTCTGTCTCTCGCCTTCTCTGCTTCCCCTCTCTCTCACTCTCTCTCTCTCTCTCTATTCCTGTGCATTGGTATGTGACAAAATGTGTGTGTCACTAGAAACAATGTATACACGAATGGCGTTCTTTATCTCGCTCGCACTCCTCCTTCGCTCCCCCCCTCTCTCACACTTTCCTCCTGAACTTGTGCTCATTCTTCCCAGAGTCCGTCCCGCAGCCTTGCCAATCATGCGGTCGCTCCCCTTCGTGCGGAGGCAGTTCTCGAACTTCAGATCTCTGTGGGCGATGCCCTTGGAGGGGGTAGGGTGAGAGCAAGATGGAAGCGTGACGCCTACAATCAGAAGCAACAGTCAGAGTGCCAGGTACGGATGGAAGACCGCTGGCCGTCCATGCCAAAAGTAACTGCTGCGGCGTCAGGCCAAACACCACAAGGTTCATGGCTGAGGATGGACCGACGAGGCACTGACGCAACGGCAGCGTTGACGAGGTACTGCGCCCTGTCAACCAATCTGGACCGAAAGAAGAATCTTATCTCGGAGGTGTCGTCGGCATGTCCCTCAGCATCCGAGGCTGCAACGGAAGTGTGTGGAGTGTGCGACGCGCCAGTGTGTGCTCCATCATCGGGAGATGCACGCCAACCAACACATAACATGTAGATCACGTGCAACGACTGACGAATTCAACAACCACACTTGCGACAACCTGAACTATGTGATCAACTGTTTTGGTGAAATCGCACTGTGATAACATGCACCTCCGGTACCAACCCTAACAACTCTGGGTACTGGCGAAAGGGTCGACTCGTGCTCATGCATGCACATGCGGATGCACATGCATACATGAAACGTGAGGCACACCAAGAAGCTAGCAACTGGTACACCGAAGATACAACCAACCAACTTGTGCATCTACGCGGAACGTGGTGTAACAACGGTTTGATCAATCAACGCAACACGTGTGACTGCAGCTACTCCTCATCATATGTGACACCGTACCATATATGATGATCGTATGAAGCGCGCTTTACACCTGTCACTCCTGAAAAGATATCTGCATTGTTAAACCACTCAATGGCAATGCCGCAAATCGACACCAATGAGAGACGGTCTCGCCTCAGAATGGCAATACGCGACGCCTCGAAAGACGTCCTGGAAAAGCACCTCCGGCTTGAGGGGTACAGCAAAGACAATGCACGTGACTATTTTGCAACATGTTTGCCAGCGGCGGCGGACACGGTCCGTCGCGTTAAAGCGACGCTGGGGTGCATAACAGCGTCGATACCGAACAATTCAATTCATTTTTGCGCGGACTTGTACTGCGAGTGCGCTCTCTGCTATCGCAAGTGGCCCATCCAAAGCAACGTGACAGGATGTTAAATTATGTTGATATCCCCGTAACAACTCCTGGCCATGAGCAAATGTCGGTGCGCATCTTCGAGGCCCCCACAGCAAGCGTGGCTTATCGTGGAGTCGCACCTCGCGACCTCACCTCGACCTCGTCGAGGCCGCAACCATCACCTGTGTTGAGTTGCAGGGGGCCGCTCTGGCAGCCAGCGCCTGATGGCAGTAGGTTTGTCATGGAGGTCATCGCTTGGCCGTTTGCGTACGATGTCCTAGAGCATGTCTAACACCCACATTGGCCGCTGCTTGGCAGGCGCATTTCTGCCTCGAATGGACCACATCCGCGGCGACGCTGACAGCGAGTCTGGTTCACATTGGACAAGAGCTGCTGCCCGTCGTCGTCACCATTTTTTCCGTACCAATTCCGATCGTACCGATCTGTTTTTGGACGGAGCGCTCTCGGGTCGTGCATCCAGATTGCCGCGGAAGCGACGCTTGCGGACGCTGTGCTTCTGCCTGGGGGCGTACTCCTCCCGAGGGGGGCTCTAACAAGCGGCTCCGGCTTGTTCAGGTAAATCAAGAGGTCGGCGTGGCCCACTGGAAACCCTTGGCAGTGAGCCACACAACTGTCTGAAAGAGATCGGCAACGTGACGATGCTGGAGAGCCGCTCAAGGTCGCCATCTCCTGGCATTCTCGCGAGGGTCAGAGATTCAGTGACCCAATTCTTTGCGAACTCGTGCGGCTCGCCGTCAAGCGCGCGCAAGCCAAAAGAGAGTTCGAAGTCCAAGATTCCACAATCGGCAATCGCCTCGCGATGTTGGAGCATGGTCGGTCGATGTATGCTTGTCTGTGAGCATGCGCTTCGTTTTCTTCCTGAATGGTGCCCCGGTAGAGATCGGACGGGCCGCTGCTTTGTAGACCTCGGCAAGCCTGCTGTTGGTTGAGGTGGCGGCGGCCGCGCGGCGTCCCAATCGGCCGACTACACGAACGCGCATACACACATGCACACATAAACGCGCATACACATAGACACACACACATATATATGTATATACATGAATACAAATTCGCTGTCGATGCCCGTCACCCCGTCTGTTCGGACACTCACATCCGTCTGGAAGCCTTACCTGTGCAAACGGAAACACTGTCTGCACTGCTGCGAAACCGCGCGCCCCTATTCGAGGACCAGTGCCGTGGGGACGGGCCTAGAAGGCTCGCCTGGCGACGCCTCTAGCAGCAGGCCAGTCGGCTCCCTCACTCTGCTGGCGGCACGGACCGTTTGGTCCCTCATTTGCGCAGCGTGGCCCTCGACACACTCCTGCACACGCTCAATTCAACCACTCCGCTTTCAAGAGCATGCCTGCGTCGATAAAAAGAACGCGCTCTCAGGATGCAGGGGCCTTGGAAGGCCACACCAACACTTTTCGAGCGGGGCGCGGCTAGCGAAAGGGGCCAGGGATGGGTCGAAGGGGAAAGCTGCAAACATGACATTGGCAAATCGCTCATCCTTACTATCCGCGTTGACTGTAAGCATTGCGTTGGAACCTCCGCGTGAATCGCGCTTTGGACTTTCAATTCTCGGATTTCAGCTCTTGCTTTGCCAGGCGTGGGCCCTCACGATCTTCTCGGCGTCGCAGCCTTCCGAAAACACGAGGCAACGAAGCTGGGGCTCCCTGCGCAGTCATGGCATGGCAACAAGCGCTTGTGCACATCTCCGTTCGAAGTGAATGGCCTCAGCCGCAAAGGCCGCCTCTTCTATTGATCGCGGTTCCGACTCACACAATTGTGCACTTCGCCGCTCAGCACAACTTCCAGCACACCTGGTGCGCCCCGCCGCCCCCCACCCCCCACAACGAAAAACGCATGGACGCACTTTGGCGCGTTCTTGGCGCGACTGACATGTTTCAGAGCGGACCAGCGAACACAGCGGCGTTCCTGCAATAGCTGTTCGGTCTCGTGGCGTGCAAACTGCGAGGCGAGGATTCATCCGTAAATGAAGGGGCCCCAGGACACACAAATAAATACACACAAATAAAATGATTCCCCATAGTTTCCCATATTTTTTGAGTTTGTGTCTTCCCCCCCACTTCCCATATTCTCCTACATTTTCCAGGGAATCGACGATTAATTGTGTCTGTGTGTTTTTTCCCCTCCTGAGTAAACACCGCCGGGCTGCGGGAATGGACATGACGCTCCCCCCATGGGGCCCGACGAGTACCCGTGCCCACCCGCCTGCCGAGGCCCCCGAAGATCGACCCCCCAGGAGGTGGACGTGGACCAATCCCCGCCCAGGGCAGCACGCCTCACAACGACTGCCTGCGCAGCTGCTGTCAGCCCCAGGCCGGCTGCCGCGAGAGCCCCGTGGCTCCGGCAGCAGCTGCAAGGCCGGGGCAAAAGGTAGCTCGGGCCTCCGCTGTGGCGAACGACGCTGGCTCGTGCAGGTCGTGTTCGACCCGAGCCATCCACGGTTCGAGAGCGACTGACGGCCGCCAGGCCTGGCTCCGAGGCTCAGCGGCAAGGCTGTTCTGGGACGGGCCGTCGACCGCACCTGAAAGCAGCATCGCGCAGCTGCCAAAGGTGCCCGACTAAGTCGGGCGCCCCCCCCCCCCTCCCGGGCGCCTGCGGTCGCGCATGTCGCTCGGACGTGCCTGTCAACCAAAAAAACCAGCGGGGCGGTATCCTCAAGAGGAAGAGCGGAAACTGGCAAAGGAAGTGCTCGCACAGGGAGGAAGCACTGCATGAGCATGATCTTCCGATAGTCCGCGCGGACCGTCGGAAGTTTCTGCTCATGCCGTTGCTTCGTCTTTCTCGTTTTCATCGGGGAGACAGCTGGAAGGCAGCCTCGAACGATCATTTCGCCGACGCCGCGAACACTGACGAATCAAGGCCGAAATCTGACAGCCGGATCGCGGGCGCATGCGCGCGCGTGCGAGGTGAAAGGGCACGTGCGTGCAAATACAACCATAGGTGCCTGCCAGAACGTCGACCCGCACGTATACATACTTATGTAGATGCAGAATGGTGACCAAACATGTGCTCATGGATGCAACCATTATACAAGCGTTGCAACATCTACGCCATCATGGCACTCACCAACATCACCAAATCCATGCCGACTCCATCTTCAACACCATCACCGTCGTCGTATCTGCCGCCACCGCCGAAAAAAACACACAACCCGTCAACATCATCAACGTCATGCTGAACGATCGGTGCTGAAACACCTTCATCGACAAACAAACTACCTTGAACTCTTGCACCAAGCTCCGTGTTGCGAGTTGGCGCCGGTGCGGCTACACCACGTCACGGTGTCCTTCCAGAATTCAGCAACCGCCGCCGCATAAGCACTCGCCCCCCAACATTTTTCAATGGACGCAAACGTGTGCGTATAGAACATTTCGCTTAAGGGCTCAAGGTTAACAGACGCCTCGGAAACTCATAGTTAACTTGATACGTTCGTCATTATGTGCTCAAAGCTTCTGTTGCCGCTGGCATTCAAATTGGCGAGACCACCAGCGAGACCCACGCACGCCAGGGACGCCTGTAACACCGACTGCTCGCATTTGTTGTTCAGGGCGCTGAAGTCACCCTCGGTCAACAGCTCGCAAATCAAGTAAATATGGCTCGCGTCCTCGTAGAACTGATAGAATTTACTAACGTTAGGGTGGTCCAACCGCACCATCGCCTGCACATGCAACCATAATATTCGCAAGCCACGGCGGTGCAACACACACCAAAGCGCATGCGTGGACGGCGAGCCATGGTAATGTTTAAACGGCATGCAAGGACATCGCATACCAACATGAACACAATGAGAGGCAAGACAATGAAACACCTCAGGTAGTGCAAACTAAGAACTGAAAGTACAAAGCCCATCAACACGGGTTCCCACTGCTGCAACACACGCGATGCGCCTTGCAGGACAAGGTATGACCAAACCATGCGCAAATACACAATGAATAATCAATTAAACCGAAACGAATAATTCGCCGACAACACGCAACTTAGCACAAGCACGATTTCGCAGCGCGCGCGAAAGGCAAACGTAGGCCAACGCAGGGACCCCATACGGTCGATTCGTCCACCAAACGCGTGCCCTCATGTGTGTGGAGCCCCTGGCCTGTGGAACCCTGAGCGAGTGAAGCCCTATAAGTTTCTCACGGCAACAACGCCAGCGCGACAAGGCCCCTTAAGTACACACAGCCAGGGGCGTGCCGCTCCCCAAACCCATGTGTATGGAGCCCTGCGTCCTTGGGGATCACGAAGTGTGCAATAGAATGCGTCTGTGATACACTGTGCACGCGCCCCTCCATCCTTCTCCTTCGCATGGTTTACTGCGTGGCTCGCCTGCCGTTTTTTGCACTCTTCACTGCTCGCCATGGCTCGCCCCTGACCCAGGAGAGCACGGCCTTGGCTTGCGCGTGATCCTCACACGTGCGATTGCAATTTGTGCTGAGGCGTCCCGCCAGTATTGTCGACCAGCCGTTGGTACAACGCTATGGCGGAGAAGCAGCTATAAACACTTATCCAGATGTGTATATATATATATATCTATATATCTATATATGTCTCTCTCTGTATATTTTCCTATTCCTATATTTCGATTACCCGGACCACCCCCACCCCCCCACCCCTAAACCGGACCCCCCCCCTCCAGGGACGCCCCAAACGCCCTTTCGGACGTCTCGGCGGCCCCCAGGACGCCTTTGGAAAAGGTCCGCTGGCTTTTCCGGGCCTCCCAGGGCGCCTTACTGGGCCTTGCGAGCAGACTCTAAGCGATCAGAGGGTCATCGGAGAGGCGCAAGGGAGACCCAAAACAGAAGGCGAGAGCTCCAAGAGGAACCTCGATGGTCCGAAGACGGCCCACGAGGCCCCCCAAACGCCCCAAGAGGCCGTGAAGAGAGCCTCGCAGAAGCAAACATCGCCCCACTCCCAATAGGATAATGTAAATTCTTAGCGTATCAATTTTTGGATTCTTCGCAGCGTCCAAGACGGCCTGATGGGCCCCCGATATCGCCCCAAGAGGCCTCCCAGAGGGCTTGAAGACGGCCCAAGAGGGCCCCATGACTGCCCCAGAGAGCCCCGAGACTGCCCACAAAGCTCAAGATACCCCCCAAAGGCTCCCACGAGAGACCCGCGAAAGCCATGGGAGACCCCCAAGAAGGCCACTGGGGGCTCCCTAGAAGGCCCCAGATGGCTTCAGAAGACGTCTTGAGGGCCCCAGCTCCCCAAGACGGCCCAAGAAGGCCCCAGGATGGCCCAAGAGGGCACCAGGACGGTCCAACAAAAACTTCAAAAACGCCCAGACAGCGTTCTGCGTGCGCTCACTGCGCTCACGCCAGCCCGCCGGTCTTTCCCGTACCTCTATTTCCTTCTCTTTTTTTTTGTTCTCTCTCTCTCTCTCTCTCCCTTCCCACTCTGCCCTCTTCGTCGGCCTCCACGTTCGTGGCATCCAGTGGCCATCGTCATTCGCCCGCTCCTTCATCTGGACCTTCTCCCCGTTTCTCCCCCATCCTCGCCCCTTCTGCCTCTTCAGCCTCCCCCTCATCCCTGCTCCCTCCCCGGTTCCCCGTTCACGGACAGGTGCCATCGCAACAGTTTGATGTTTCGTCGTTTGCCAGAACCTTCGCGTGTGAACACATCATCATTCCTTCCCCACTCCTGCGCACAAGCGTGCACACGCATCGGGCGAACGCGGTGTCAGCAGGCACCAGAGATATCATAAAAAATAGCCGATTGCCCGCCCGGGCCTCGAGGTCCCCCCCTGCTGAAGCAAGCGATGATTTACTGCTTTGCCGGGGAAGCGTCCGGAACAAGGCGCATGGCGCGAGGCGTCAATGCAGTTTTGTATGTATGTATGTATGTATGTATGTATGTATGTATGTTTGTATGTATGTATGTATGTATGTATGTACGTATGTATGTATGTATGTATGTATGTATGTATGAGGTGAGAAGCGCTCCCGTGGCACGTCGAAGTCGCAGTAGCTCCGAGCACATCGATGTTTGGTCGCTTCCTGGACGCCTGGAGGGTTCGAGGCGCTCAGGCAATCTTCGGTCGTCGAACTTCGCATCCAGATCCAGTGCCTGTCTCTCTCGACCGAAAAGTTTAGCAACCTCGAGCCTCAAGCGTGGAGCCAAGATCGTCGGGCCAGCTCGATGTACTTCGTAGGAGAACGCCGTCTGGGCGTTTTTGGAACTCTTTTGGGCCGTCCTGGGGCCCTCTTGGGCCGTCCTGGGGCCTTCTTGGGCCGTCTTGAGGAGCTGGGGCTCTCCAGAGGTCATCTGAAGCCATCGTGGGTCTCTCTTGGGAGCCTTCTGGGGGCATCTTGGGCTTCTTGTGAGCAGTCTCGGGCTCTCTGGGGCAGTCTTGGGGCCCTCCTGGGCCGTCTTCAAACCCTCTGGGGGGCCTCTTGGGCCGTCTTGATGACATCAGGCCCATCGGGCCGTCTAGCACGCTGCGAACACCCCCAAAGCGGATATGCTAAACATGCATACTTTCTTAAGGAGGTGGGGCGATGTTTGCTTCTTCGGGGCTCTCTTCACGGCCTCTTGGGGCGTCTTGGGGGCCTCTTGGGCCATCTTCGGACCATCGAGGTTCCTCTTGGAGCTCTCTTGTGCTGTCTTGGGTCTCTCTTGCGCCTCTCCGATGGCCCCTCTGATCACTTTGAGTATGCTCGCAAGGCCCAGCAAGGAGCCCTGGGAGACCCAGAAGGGCCATGGGACCTTTTCCAAAGGCGTTCAGGGGGCCGCCGAGACGTCCGAATGGGCATCCGGGGCGTCCCTGGGGGGGGGGGGTCTGGTTTAGGGGTGGGGGTGTGGGGGTGTGGGGAGGGGGGTCCAGGTAATGAAAAATAGGAATAGGAATATGCGTGCGTCCACTTGTCTTGGACTGCAGAAACTCCGCGCGTCAGTGCCGCGCGCCATTAAAAGCTGGTGGAAGAGGCTGCGTCCGCCATCGCCTGGCCCTGTGCGAGAGTTGGGCGTCGCGCTCAGGCATCAAGGGCACACAGGCCCCACTCCTCTCGCGCACGCCATTCCTCAAAGCAAGGGCTCCCCTCCCCCTTTCTGGCCGAGGCCAGGCGTGTGCGCTGCCCCTCAGGGTTCGCACCACGCCTTGGCCCGACAGGCCGCCACCCCGTAGAGCCATCCGTCCTCGGACAAGGAGGGGTACCCACGCCCCTCGAGCCCTCGGGTCCGACAGCACCTGCAGCTCGTGCCCCAGCGCTCACGCTGGGCCGCCAAAGAACCCACAGAGTCCCCCGTGGTCAGGGAGGGATGTCACCTCACTGGCTGAGTGCTGATGCGCGAAGCCGACAGCACAACCAGAGCCCCCCGCCCCTAGGCGAAAGGATGCCCGCTTCGGAGCCCTTCGCCCAGATAGCGCCGCCTCCGCAGGCCAAATATCCCTGCCGAGGCTCGAACTTGGCTGGACGACCCAACAGGGAGGGAAAGAGGGAGGGGCTCAACACGCGGGCAAGGTTTGGAGGGACAACTCTCTGGCTCTCACCGCGCTTCGTGAAACAATTGCCGTCTAGGGAAGGCGGAAACCAATGTGTGACACGATATGTGTAACCATCTGTATTTTGAGCCCAAGCGCACGCCTAACCCATGTCCAAGCACAAGTCCAAACCTACGTCAAAACCTACGTCCAAATCCACGACCCACCGCAGGTCCAAGCACACAGCAAACCCACGTCCAAACACATCTTAACCCGCGTCCAAACCCCATCCAAACGTACACACCAACTCTCATCCTACGTCTCTATCTCACTTTCAAGACGTCCAAACCTACGTCTAAATAATTACCTTGGGGCGACTACGGCCCGATCCCGCCAGACAGGGCCGCTTTGCATCACGCGCAGGTTCGAACACCTTAGCTGCACGCGTTCCTTAACGAACCACCACACATGCGAACCAATGCAGGGGAGCAAAGCCGGATCAATGCGTGTATATGTTGTTGGCATCCGGTAACATCTGTTCACGACGTGGAAGATTGTATGTTAACGTGTCGATGCATGTGACGCCAACGTGACTGACATATGAGGTCATGCAAGCGCACATTCTACAGGGGGACGGGGAAAGGAGGATAAACAAACTGTCCCACATGGTCAGCGACAAATATTCCTCGCGCTCCATACCGTCAAAACGAAGAGCGTCGCCTCGATCTCCGTGACTACGAAGGCTAGATCGTCCTTACAAGTGAAACCGGCTTGAATTCATCGCTCACCCTGCACTGTTGCCAATACCCAAATACTCACTCTTTGCGCCATCAAGGTCGACGACGTACCAGCTCGCACAAATTCGAACGCGTGCTGCCTGCCAATGACAGGTCCGACACCCTGAACACCACGATGCTACCAACCATAAGATATCGTCAACACCCATCAAACGGGGACTCCACTAACGGGTACTTTGGCCAGTGACCCAGCGAACCCAACCCTTCCCGATGTGGGCAACGCTGCAATGCCAGAAAGAGGCTTTAAAATGGCAACTTTCGGCAACATCTCAAAGTACCCGTTAGTAAGTACCCGTTACGGTGCCGTTGATATCGATCTCCACATGCATTTCCACAACAAGATGACCGTGAACACCCTTCCCGGGCAACCCGTTGGGAGACTTGGGCCCCACCGGCTTCGGCCGGGCAGTCTCGTGACCAGATCCGGCCAGGCTGCCGCGAACT